TGGCCAGTTTCGTGCTCGTCGTCTTTGGATTCGGAGACGGAGAGCTCGGTCAGGGTTGCAACGAGACCTATTCCGAGCAGTGCGAGTTGGTTTTCCGTGCGCGCGCCTGCACATTCGCCTGTTTGACATGGTTCGCTCTCTTCCTCGCATGGGAGATGATCGACATGCGTCGTTCTTTCTTCCGCATGCAGCCTGGCAGCAAGCGCTACTTCACCCAGTGGATGATTGATGTATGGAGGAACCAGTTCCTCTTCTGGGCTATCATGATCGGCTTTGTCCTCCTCTTCCCCCTCATCTACATCCCTGTTCTCAACACCGTTGTGTTCAAGCACGCGCCCATCGACTGGGAGTGGGGTATCGTCTTCATCGAGACTGGTATCTTCTTTGCCGGTATCGAGTTCTGGAAGTGGTGCAAGCGCATCTACTTCCGCCGTATGGCGGCTAAGCACGGTAATGGAAAGGTCGACAAGAACATGGAGATTGAGGACCGTGTCTTTGGTCGCTACTACAGCCGCGACTCTTCTGTCGCTGGCAGCGAGAACATGCAGGAGAAGGCTTAGAGCCTTACCTATGGAGGAACTGTATAAAGTGAGGTATCGAAGGATGGGAAGGCCCTGCTAAGGGCATGCAAGGAGGCGTTCCTGCTCTCTAAGAGCAGAATACTTGCCTACCACAAAAGTTAGTTATATAGAATGCTTAGACACGATCACGACAACGTGCATTACGATCCTTAGATATAATAAAGAAGATTACCACATCATACATGTTATGTTCCCATCTTCTGAGAACTGCAGTGTGCGATGTCCTCGTTACCGCTGCGAGTCCAACCGACGGAATTCCCTTCTGGCGCTCGGGCTTTCATGGGACCCATCGCACTAACCACTTCGGGCGTGACTGCTAGTATCAGACACAGAAGGAACGAATGTGCAAGTACAAAAGATCGAGAGTGCATGCAAAATTGTTTTTGTCTGGGCGGTCTTCCTATCTATACAATCACAGTGAGGCGCAGCCGCCGAAGTAAACTGCGGTATTTTGCATTGGTGCGACGCGGTAGCTTTGCGGCATTTTACTTTACCCCGACACCTTACCTCTCAACTCTCCGCACCAGGCCGGCAAAAGATGAGATCGTCAAGAACACCATGTGGGCAGCGAATCGCGGGATAGAATGGAAACGTGAGGGGGTTGTGGGGGTAGTTTCTCTAGGGGAAGTACCGCGCGTGTGACTCCTCAACTTGGAGGGATAACCTAATGATGAGGCCGGGTCATGCATGCGATAGGAGGAACAAGTATAAAGCATTCGTCTAAAAATTGGTATTCGTCATGAAAGTGTAGTGGGAACACGTCGACCAAGCAAAAAAACTGAACAGGCCTGCGGCCTACATCAACTTGGAAACCTACAAGATAGGTGACCTGGCGTCGATGTAGTCTCTAGACGTATTCGGGTTTTTCTGGTATGAGGTGGGAATGGCTACCTGCCGGTACTTCTACCCTCCAAACAGGTAGGTAGAGATGCAATATGATACAAATCGCGCAACGATCTTCACCTAAACGACCAATCGCCCTGGCTCGGCTTCAAGCACCGTCTTGACGCGCTCGAGGAAAACACGACCGCGCTTCTCGTCGCCCTTGGGCACGCTCACACTGAATACGTTGAGAGGTCCTGCGACGCCCGCTGCGCCCGAAACAGGCTTAGCGGAGGTCTTCTTGCCGGCTAGCATGTCGAGAATGTCCGACTTTGGTGCTGGGGCGCGCTTGCTGGGGATGGTGGTTGGTGGTAGCGCGGTGACTTCTGGCATGAGGTTGCCCCGCGAGTACTTTGACGATACCTTGTCGAGACCAAGTACAGCGTTGAACAGCTCGTCGGCGGTTGGCTTTGCGACCTTCGAGCGGGGGAGATCCTCGTTGGCGAGCTCGGCGGCGCGCGCGACGAAGGTTGAGAGCGGGAGGAAGACGCCTATTGAGTCCTTGACGCGCTTCTGGCATTCCATTACTGCGGTGAGGGAGACGGGTAGTGCTACCTCGATAGGGAGGTCTTCGACAACCGCTGGTGCTTTGGCTGCTGGCTTCTTTGATGCTTCCTTCTTGGGCATGGGCTTGATGTTGGAGAGATCGAGGTGCGATAGCTTGGTGAAGCGACTCGCCAGCTCCGAGGGGTATGAGTTCTCAATCTGACCAACATATGCGAGCACGTCTCCCTTGAGCAGCCTGCCGCCAGGACCAGTCGCGGGGATCTTATCAGCCTCCTCCTTTGGCAGACCGTTGACTTCGAGCAAGTGTTGTACGGAGGGGTATAGCGGGTAGGTTTGCTTGGAGGCCTTGCCGCTGGAGGCTTTCTTCGAGGCATCGGATTTGGCAGGCGGGGCAGAGGTTCGCTCCTCCTTTGGTACCGGCGCAGGCTCTTTCTTGGACTCCTTGGGCGCTTCGGCCTCTTTCTTGGGCGCGGGGCTCTCTTCTGCGGGTATCTCGAGGGTGGACAGGTCGTCGCCGGGCTCTGCTGTGACGGCTATCCGTGTGCCGACCTGGACTGCTTTGGAACCGTCTTGGACCTGGAGTCCGTGTTAGCCATGGCCTGAAGCTAACATATCTTCCCACGTACAGTGATCTTGGCCAGGATACCGTCATCCTGCGCTTCAACGTCCATCTGTGCCTTGTCCGTCTCGATCTCGAGCAGCACGTCGCCGGCGGAGAAAGAGTCTCCCTCCTTGATCTTCCAGCTCGCAATGTTACCCTCGGTCATGGTCGGTGAAAGCGCAGGCATGTTGAAGCTTTGCGCAGCGAGTGAAGCCTGACTTGAGTGCAGTCCTCTCCGAGCACCCTGGTTGCGCAACTGCTGCGAGGCAGCCCGCGCCGAGACCCTACATACCGCAGCGAGCGAAGCCATGGGGAGGTCAATTGACGGACGGAGTCAATGGCAGTGGGAACAGGAGGGTGTTTGGCGACGGTGCTGATCTGCTGGCGGGAAATGTTGGGCGGAACAAGCTTCGGAGGTGTCGAGCGGGACGCGCTTGGGCCGCTTCTAGTTGGACTTTTTCCGACATATCGCGACGGCATCCAGGTATCCACGCCCACATACTGCCGCATTGACTTGCTGGAGTATGCTCGGTGTATAGCGCTGATTGAACACCCCATACCACTGCACTCACAATGCCCGCCTTCTCCCGGGGCTTCGACGCCTTCCTGCGCCAACACACCCTCCGCCTCCCCTCATCCCTCCGCGCCGCCCTCTTCGGAACACGGGAATCGTTCTTCACACCCACCACGATACGCACGATACGGCAGAATCGCTCCTTCACATCCTCCGTGCTCCGACGCTACCAATATCCCAAGACCAATGTAGTCGCACCAAAACCCAGCTCATTCGTGAGCAGCGACCCCGTCCTCCGCCAAGTCGTCCAAACACGCCAGCCAGTCCTCCTCTACCAAGCGCCCAAGAACAAGTGGTACTATCTCAAGGTGTACGGAACGGGAGCATTATGGATCGGTGTCGGAGCATTTTCCATCAAGTTCAATGACGACATCAAAGACAATGGCCTATCCTTCTTCGTCCGACCGACCTACGTCGTGGTAGGAGTGGGCTTCATCATCATCGGCTGCTACATCTGCACCGCGCCCAGCAACCGCATGCGCGCACTGGAAGTCCTTCCTAGTCTGCAGGGCGGGCCCATGCAATTGCGTATGGTAGTCAAGCCGGTGCCGTGGCTCAAAGAGCGCGTCATATACACGGATTTGGGGAAAGCGACAATCAGTGAAAAGACGGAGCCCATGGTGGCTGAGTTGCTCGAGGCAGAACGGTTCAAGCGGCAGAAACTCTGGGATGACTTGGGACATATGAACATTGCGGCGCGTGTGTGGGAGGGCTCAGCGCGGTGGGTACATCAGAAGTGGACCAACTTCTTTTTGAAGTTCAAGTTCGCCGTTCTGAGGTTCGGTATTGCGAAAGTCAAGGTGAGGGGTGATGAGTGGAAGATTGACTGCTCGGGGTACTTGCTCGAGAACGGCAAAGGTATGTCAATGCGATTACACTCCTGAGGTAGAATCTAACCGAGATGTAGCTGTGGACCGAATCATTCCTGAAGAATAAGGCCGCTCGTACACGCTTCAGGTTTATACTCCAAAGCGTTGAGAAAGCCATGCCCAGCTTACAACTACGAGCTCGCTGAGATTACAGAAGCGCTAGTAGCATCACGGGTGGCGACAAATACTGCTATGCGTCCGTTGTTGATACGACCGAGCCCCACACGATCTTTCACGAATCGAGGTTGTACACCATGTTCACGATATGTATATATAACGGCAAGCAACTGTAGACTACTGTAAGATACCAGTCCAGCACTAGTTGCAAAGGACAAGTCTGTCGACACGATTCCAATGTACGGCTTGCGCATTGAAACGCAGCATCGAATGCTTCTTGTTGCCCGCTCGGCAGTTGCGTTCAATTTGTCACAAGACGCAGGACGATGATGAGTAACTAGATGTATCTTTTCGCCACTCTCCATATCTTCTCCGACTTGCTTTCTGTCTATTCGTCAACATTGTCTGCGCAGGCCCTCGCGTCTGTGCTCTGCCCTAGATTTGCTCAAAGGGCTTAGACAGGTTCTTGCGTCCCATGTTTGCCAGCTGACCAGCCTGCAGCATGACTGCATACAACCTTGGAACGAATAGGATATCTCGGACCGGGGCCAGCCCCCTGCGCAAAACCACAGCCCCAAGGCCGACTGACGTGGATCGTGGTTCTATGGCTCATGGAGCACTGGACAAACATTGAGCGGGTGTTCTCGTCCGGTCTCGCAACTGCCCAACACTACGCTGGCTACGCGGCCTGTCGAGATCAATTGATAGTACCGAATACCGGCGGGGAGCACCTGTATCATATAGCGCCTTACGTCCTCTCTCTCTTGACATATCCTCATCCGCGCTCGACTGACATCATACACTGTAGCCCTCGCTCCCCACGCACGCGAATGTCTCCCTCCGTATTAGACCCAGACAATATCGTACCAATGAACTCGAGGGAGTTGGCGACCTGGAAGCTCACTACCGAATGGCCTGTGGCTGAAGCATCGGTTGAGGGAAACTTCCACCTTCACGTGGACGAAGCCAAGTACAAAAATTCGTATGGGAATCATCGGTGTAAGTGACGAGAGCCCTCGCATGAGAAACATCGCTGATGATTTATCTTAGCCATCGTCAAACTCGAGGTGATAGATGAAGCACATCACGAGTTTGATGCTTCCGGAGTTCTTATAGGGCTCGACCTGGTTCTGACCTCCGCACACAACGTTCTGTATCGTGGTGGAGAGACATTTGTCTCTCGGGTCATGTCTGTCAAAGCGTACATTGGGTACCACCGCTCAAAGTCTTCGAAAGGGATAGGGGTCGAAAAGCGTTTCGGCAAAAGAGTCATTGTGCTTCAAGCATGGGAACGCTCTGGATTCGCCTGGCACAACGACATGGCCCTTATCAAGCTCGAGAGCGACTTTCTACAGGTCGAGCCAGCCTTGTACCAGGCGCCACCTTTGGTGTGGTCGGAGGTGCTTGGTATCGGCTATCCTGGTGAGAACACAACGCAAGGCAGCGGATCTTGTCCGCTATGCGAGGATGCTGGATGCATGTACGAAGTGGTGGGTGGGGCCCGGTGTGAAGACGACGGGTTGCTTGAGTGCAAGCTTTTGGCTGTGTCTGGTAAGTGTACGAATAAGAAACACATTACAACATTCACGGATGTTGACAAAATGCATAGGTAACTCGGGAAGCCCTATCTTTCTCAAAGACGAGCCAAGGCCAAGAAAAAACACACTCAGAACAGTCATAGCCACCTGCAGCGGCAGTAAGTCAAAGGAGGGTACCATCTACGCCGCTCCAGTGGATGTCCCCTTCATCCAAGCAACCAAATATTTCCTGAGTCAACAACATCTCCCTTCTAATCTACACTTCATAATGCACCAGCAACCCGATACTCAGACATGGACTATCTTCCAGTCTACAGAGATTTGAGGTCCAGCGAATAGTTATTAGACCCCATGGGCCTATTGCGCATGTATTATCGCATACTAAGAACAAGACGGGCAAGGCCTTTCCGCAGTCAAGTTCATGTAACGAGGAATATGTGGCCAAAATTATCTCCTTCGATATTCGGCTACGTTATGTCTCCCCTGAAGCTCATCAATTCAACGCACCTATGTGAAGCCTTCGCCTGCCATGATAACGCTCCACGCCCTGCGTCACTCTCCGATCACATACGGCGACCAAAAAGCCCACATACCAAGTTTTTCGCAATGGCAAGGTGCTCCAACGCGGATACACTTCATCTTTTCGCAATATCGCATCATACCCCTTGTATGTATTGTGAGCAGCACTGCATATTGTGATACTTCCTTCCCCATCTTTCCCATTGTTTCTCAGGAGCCTACACCAAGGAAGTAGATAAGGACTACATAATGAGTAATGAATGATGCACGTTCGGTGAAACCTTTCTCGTGATTTCCATGAGACTTCTGTGGAACAGTACGATTTTAAACATTGCAATCATAAGGCATATGCTTCTTCGACACACCATCATGCTCGCTCATTTGAATCCGACGTCGTCGACATAATCTGTGTGCCATAAAACCGAAAACCATCGACTTGTTTCTTCCATTTGTCCATTGATGCTGATTCCAAGCCCAATATCCCACACTCTCAGAATCCCACATCCAACCAATACCCCGTACTCCCCTTCCCCTTATAAAACTGCGTGAACGCACCTACTGCCGACCTACCATCCTCCAAGTTAGCAGATGCCACGAGTTTCACCAATCGTAATCACATACCCCTGCAGCTGCTCCTTATCCTTAGCCTTCTGCCAATCTTTCCATCGCTCCTTTTCAGGCAGCGTCGCATCCCGCCAGCGTTCCTTCCCTGGTTCAACGGATTTGGAACGGCGCGTACCGGAATGAATATGCAGTTTTGAGCGCCAGGAATGTGAGGAGGAGGGACGTTCTGGTGTTGATGCTGGGGGTTTTGAGCTGGATGTGGATGTGGAGGTTGTGGATGCGCTTGTTACATTTACGAGAGGGGCTGTGGAATTGTTGCTCTCCTTCTCGGTGAACAGGCCTGGGACTTGGAGTTTGGATGGGTCTGTCATGGTGGGAATGATCTGTATGTGGTTGAAGGGGAGAAGTGCGGAGATGTAGTGATGGGGACAGTGGGGAGGGTATATGGTGGGATGAGAGGAGAACAGGTTTTATTGTAGCACAACGCTTACTATCTACTTAATATCGGTAGGGTATAAGTTGTTGATCACTGGTCGTGGCTGTGGAATCTCACTGTCTGTGAGACGGACGCGGGCGTAAGGCGTCCACAGGGCTGAGTCCACGAGCCGCCCCCAATCTTGCGGTTAGTGTGGCGCTGTGGCTGTGGCTGTATCGGACCGACTGGCGATCTGCAAAATGTATGTATTTGATGTAAACATTGCCTGCTACCCATACACTACTTTACTCTGCTAAGTTCACCTCATCAAGATTCTTCCGTATAAACTTCGTCACGGCATCCAACCCCTCCTTAATAACGTCCGTCTGATTAACAAACCCGATCCTAACATACCCCTTGAACTCCTCGCCGAAACAAGTACTACCAGGCACAAACATGACGCCCGTAGCCTCTAGCAACTTTTTGCAAAAGTCCACAGAGTCCACTGCCTTGCCTTCTCGGTGGAACTTGACGAAAGCCGTAGTACCAGCCACAGGCTTCACCCACTCGCACTCATCCTCGTTCTTGAGCTGGAACTTCTCCAGAAGAGCCAGGTTAGTTCTCGCGAGTTGGATGTTGCGAGCTAGTAGACTGTGCACTGTTGATGAGTGGAGAGCGTAGGCGGCGATGGCTTCGTCGAAATAGGACACGGAGATTGTGGTGTAGTGCCGTGCTGAAGCGATCTTTTCGATGATTTCAGAGCTGCGAGATGCTATCCAGCCGATGCGGATGCCTGCGAGAGAGTAGGCTTTTGACATGGAACCTGTGACGATGACGTTCTTGTAGCCCATGGATAGGAGGGAAGGTGGGAAGTCTTTGTCTATGGGGATGATGGAGTGGAATAGAGGGCGATAGACTTCGTCACTCATGATGGTGATGTCCTTTTCGGTCGCAATGTCGATGAGTTCTTGGAGGAAGGTCTTGCCTAGGATGGCACCGGTGGGGTTGTTTGGGTTGTTGATGATGATGAGCTTTGTGTTGGGCTTGATGAGCGTCTTCAGCTCGTCGATGGTTGGTACCCATTTGTTTTCTGGCGTTGCTTTCCATAGGTCAACTTCGGCGCCCAGTTGCTTGGGTACCTCGTAGAGGGACTGGTAGGTGGGGTAGTGGCAGATGACATGGTCTCCCGGTCCGACGAGGGAGTAGGCAGTCAGGTAGTTTGCTTGGATGGCACCGGGAGTGATGAGGATGTTGTCTGGAGAGAGAGGGTTTGTGACCTTGGCAGAATATAATCTTGCCAAGTTGTTGCGCAAGTCGTCACTTCCTCTGATGGCTCCGTAGTTCAGGACACGCGAGGTGTCGAAGACCGGCTGATCTTTGTTCTCTGACAGCTCGCGTAGCTGATCGACGGAAATTGAGGCGCAACACGTCTCGGCGATGTTGTACTTGCATTTCGTCTCGTACGCATCCATCCACTGGGCATGTTAGTCACTTCCCCACGTGGAGTGCGAGATGCGGGGAATGACATACGGACTCGACGGCGAATTCTTCAATCTTGACCATTCTGGCTTGTGAGATAGAAGGAGATGTATGACGGGCGGAAGAGCGCAGAGAAAATTTAGACGATATAGTTTTATGTCTCAAGGTAGCTCTGGGGATTGACATAGGGCGCACATGATGGCCTCTCGAGGTTCCGCTGAAGCGGGCGAGCTAGTTGCTAGAGCGCTCCGACGGCTAGGTTGGGCTGGCAAGAGCGCGTCGCCGCTGATGGCGCGCGATCACGTTGATCAGCGCGTTGCTAGAGACGAGGCTGCCAGTCGCGTGATGTATATCCATATCCTGCGCTTCTGCATGTTGTGCCAGATATCGATGATGACGAGGACCATGTTGCCTGCATCACCTGTTGGCGTGTGCCTCGGTCTAGCGGTCCGCCATGGTGCTTGGCTGGAGACAGCCCAGCCTCCACGAATCAGCGTCGCCGCAGGCCGATGATAGCAGCACTGCCATCATCTGGCCACCCGTTGCTACCTGTTGTCCCTCGTCCCCATCGCGAGCTGCCCAGCTCTTGCCGTTCCTTTGACTTTGACAGTCACCTTCCGTCTCGTCACGTTACTCTTGAAAGAAGCAGGCACACGACAATCTAGATAGCTATCGCATAGCTCGTCCCGCGCCGCAAACAAGACGCGATGCGCCAACGGACCTGGGCGACGTCGCTCGCCGCCTTGCTGGGCCTGGCATCGACGGCGACGGCCCACAAGACGTTCGCCAACTACACCCTCGCCGACTCGCCACAGGATCTCTTCTCCATCTACGGCGACCGACCCGATGGCTGTCCGCCATGCTTCAACTGCAACCTGGAAGACTTCAAGTGCAAACAGTTTGCCGACTGCAGCAAAGCGAACGGGAGATGTAACTGTGGACCCGGATTTGGAGGCGAGGACTGCTCAGAGCCCCTCTGCGGCGCCCTGCCCGATGGCAAGAACCGCTCACCACGCGGAGGCGCAAAGGAGTGCGAATGCTCAGAGGGCTGGTCTGGCATCAACTGCAACGTCTGCCAGACCAACGATGCCTGCAACGCCATGATGCCGGATGGAGAGGGCGGCGTCTGCTACAAGGACGGCCAGCTGGTCAAGGAGAACTTCCAGATCTGCGACATTACCAACAGAAAGATCCTCGACACGTTGAAGGACAAGAAACCGCAGGCGACCTTCTCTTGCAATGCCGAGTCAGAGGAATGCAACTTCCAATGTAAGCTCCATACCCTCCACCCTTCATTCCCGGCTAACCATCGCAGTCTGGGTTGACCAAAGGGAATCCTTCTACTGCGCCCTCGACACGTGCTCCTCCCACTTCACCGCCGAATCCGACCGCAACATCACGAAATACCGATGCGAGAACATCAAGTGCGAATGTGTCCCTGACAGGATGCTCTGCGGAGAGGATGGCTCCGTCGACATTGGCGACTTCTTGAAGGAGTCCATCAAGGGTCCTGCTGAATTTAGAGGCATCTCAGCTATCAACAGCAAAGACAGCGGAAGCATCTTCTCGGAACCTGCCATGAACGACCTGATCTCGAGCATCTTCGGCGACGAGAGCATCTTCCTACAATGTGACACCGGCGAGTGTCTATACCAGACGGAAGTGCCAGGTTACGAGAGACCCATCAAGAAGATCAACACTCCGTTGATCGCTGGTGTCATTGCAGGAATCGCACTATTCATCGTGGCGGCTATCTTGGCCATCTGGTACATTACCCACCGCGCTGAGAGCCATCGATATGGTCCCATCCACCTGTCGGACGATGAGGAAGACGAGGACGCGAAATTACTCGCCGACCACAAGCCAGCTTCCTTCCTCTTTGAGAACGTCGCCTACAACCTGAAAGGAAAGCAGATTCTGTCTGGCATCTCTGGTGCTGTCCACCCCGGAGAACTCTTGGCCATCATGGGTGCCTCGGGTGCCGGAAAGACTACCTTCCTTGATATTCTGGCCCGCAAGAAGAAGATTGGAACCGATAGTGGCGATTTCTACATCAATGGCGAGAAGGTCCGCGATGACGAGTTCAGAAGCGTGATTGGTTTCGTCGACCAGGAAGACACCCTTTTGCCTACCTTGACTGTCCACGAGACGATTCTCGACTCTGCATTGTTGCGCCTGCCCAAGGAGATGAGTCGCATTTCCAAGGAGCAAAAGGTAGAAGACGTTGAACGTCAACTCGGTATCTACCACATTCGCAACCAGAAGATTGGCTCTGAGGAAAGCGGTCGTGGAATCTCCGGTGGTGAGAAGCGTCGTGTCGGTATTGCCTGCGAACTTGTTACCTCGCC